GGTATCCGAGGGAAGGAAAGTGGTGAATATCCTTACATCAGCTTCCCTGATGCCTATCAGTCAATGCCACTTTCCAGAATGCACTACCTGTGATCTTAAACACGTCTGGCAGAAATCCCCCCACAATCCCACCCTGTGGGCTGCAAGAAGCCTTAGACAGTGGGTGCAATGTGGCATAAATTGGATTGTGGGAAGTGGACCTGTGGGGTTCCTCTCCAACACCAGCAGCACAGACCCCTGGCAACAGATCCTAGGCAGAGGCGGGAGGCCTCAAGACGCCACTGCTGCAGTTTCCAGGGAAAAAGGAGATTTCACAGGCCTTTTAACAGTAGCTGGGAAGAATAACGCGCTGCTTTTCAAATACTTTCAATACAGCTGGGCCCCAAGGTACTACAGAGAGCTCGTAAGGCTCTAGCTTGTAACTGGTAGCGAAAAGCCAGCGCAGCCCAGGCCCATCGGCTGCCCCAAGGAGGAGACAGTGGAGCGACCAGCCTCGCATGCATGTGGTTCATCTATAGTTGACTCTGGATTGCTTAAATCTATATAAACAAAGAAACCATGCCCAGGAGGCAACTTTCTTAGGTCTAAACAGCCACTGTGTCTCAGGCCTGAAAATGCCTGTACACAGGAATATGAGCTCAAAGCCCCTAGAGGGAGCCCTCACCCAATCAGTCCCAGGTGCCAGAAACACCTTGCAGGAAGGGGAAACGTAAACGAAGGCGGCAGGCAAAGGTGAAGTCTTTGCCACAGACATGATCCACGCATAAGGCCAAATTAGGCCCTGAGAGTCCTCCCAACAGAGATTAAATCACAGATTGTGAGATCAAGAACACTGGCATCTCTGGGAAGCTTTTGTTTTTTTCAGATACCATTGAGTTTGTACTATGGTCTTTGGCAGCACTAGGTACTGAGTTGTGGGAACAAACTTTTGTCCGGGATGACTGCCTTAGTCCCTGGTAATTGGCTTATTTCGAAACAAGTGTGGTCGTGGGGCCAAGGCTGTGATAATTTTGTGGTAACTCCTCAGACTCTAAAGTGAGCGTATCAGAGACTCAGCCTTGAACCTAGCTCCTTCTGGGGCCCCGCAGGAACTACCGTGCCAGGAGAGATACTCCAGCTACAGCTTCTGAAACCACCTCAACTGCACCCGTGCATCAAGAACTCCTCTGGCTAAGACCAATCCGAAAGAGAAATCTAGCAGGATAGTTTTTGGATTTTATTTTTTGTAACATTTTCACACTTTGAACTCAGGTGGGCAATATAATTTGATTATTTAATTCCTTTAGACTTTAATGTCTTTGGATTTTTTAAATCCAAAGGGATTTAATCTCTGAACTGCTTTTTCCCCTAAAAGTTGAATAATAAAAGATTTCTATTCAAATTTCGGATATCATTACGTTGCTAGCATTTTATTACTGGACTATCTTTCATTGCATTTTCATATGAGAATCTATGTTGGGATTTAATCTCAATGCAGAACTTCCGATATGCTGTATGAGGCAAGGAGGCAGCAGTGAATTAGAGATGGGAAACACAATACGAAGTTATTTTTCAGTCTCTGGTACAGAGTAGCCTTTGAATTTATTTACTGACTAGTATATGCTTAGATCCATTTCAGAGCCTTCTGAGCCAAACATCTACCATCCACTAACAGCTCCAGGAAGTTACAGCTCCAGAGGTTGGTACTGGGAAGCAGCCTCACAAAGGCGAGAGTAGATCTGGCCTCTGAAACTGCTGTCTCCTCCTTCAGGCTGTGAACCACAGCCCTGGCTGTGCAGTGGGCCAGTGTTTGAAGCGAACTTAGAGCTGGGGTCTCCAGGGCAAGAAAGGATTTTCCCCTACACACCCTCCTGGCTTCTTTATCCCTTTATTCCCACTGGCCCTGGGGAGGAAGTCTTTGATCCTGATCAGTAAAGTTGAAGAGTAACTAAGCCTACTTGGCTCGGCCCACCCCTAGTCTTAAATTTGTCCACCTGTATATATGTTCCTGCACACCTCCAGGGGCAGAGCCCTTTGGGGGTAGGCTGGGGTGACTGGGTAGATGGGTAAATCTACCTAATCCCTGAAATCACTTCTGGCAAATTCACTGGGCCAAACCACTAGGAAGCAGTGGTTCCAACCTGGCCTCCATCAGCCATAGACTTCACCCACCACCTTTTTATTTCTCAAATGGCTCAAAATTCTGGCCAGGGAAAGGGTGATATTTAAGGGTGATATTTATTGCCTCAAAACCCTCAACACCTGCTACCTACACTTCTGTTGTTTTTAAAGCCCTTACAATCTGACCTCAGGCCTTAATAACTTGATCAATCTGTACCGCACAATATTCGAGATGCTGGGACACCCTGGTGAAGGACACTTGAGCAGGGCCTGCCATCATGGACCTTCATCTAAACTGGGCCTCCTCTTCCTCCCTCCACTGTGACACAACCTCTACTCCATTAACACACCACACTCATTTGCGCGGGGTGGCCTCCTCTCCCCAGAGACCATCCTCCCCCCAATTCAGCTTAAAATCTTTCAAACCTTGGTGAAATTCCACACTTAGCCACAACTCTGCCTCACATACCTGAGCAATTTCTTACAAGTCACCTTGATGCCATCGTTGGTCTAGTGAGGGCTCCTCCATGTCTGCACGATCAACATCTCAAGTGAGTAATTCTCTGTTGTGAGGGCTGCCCTGTGTACTACAGGATGTTTGGCCACAGCATCCCTGGCCTCTGCCCACTAGATGTCATATCCTATATTCTGCCCCCACTGTCTCTGGGAATTGTCAAATGTCACCGAGGTAGCAAAATCATCCCCAGTTGAGAGTCACTATTACTAGGCCAGAAAACCGTGCCCTGGATGGCCAATAGCACTGAGCGGCTGCTCAAAGCTCAGTGCCTGGTTAGAAGGTATTATGGTAGAGTGGACTCAACAGACAAGTTGTTAAAAATTAATGACTGATAGAGATAATACCCTTTACGTCTCTAAAGACTAAGTAAATCAGAAGCAAGGCTAAAATTTGTGCTTCCTAAAACACCTGAGCACTGGGCTTTTTTTTTTAGGCATGATAATCAACTAAGGAAACATTCTCTCCTCCAAACCCAATCATACCGATTATTTATCAAAAGACAAACTAGTAAATACACAAGAGGTGAGAAAATGAAAATGGAATGTACAACTCTATTCCATTAGAAGCAATTTTAAAGAATTTTATTTAACTGTCAATTTATCACCAACATCTAACACTTACAGTTTTGCTACATTTGGGTAAGCACATTAGGAAGAAAGTGTAAATTAAATACTACAAAAGTGTATTTTTAATGAAACATGGTTTTAATAGGATATGGATATATAAGTTTAGTGGTTTTATTGCATTGTTAGAAAATCATTATGAAAGATACAAAAAACCAATGTAATTATTTGTTTCTTTTACAATCAGTATGCCATCTTT